GCTTGGCTGAGCTGATGGCAGCAGATGTGGGAAACAGCATGAAAGATTCAAGGGATCTGTCACTTTAGGTTACTAAGAACAGTCCTTGCAAGAAACAGAAATCCCCAAGTGAAACACCACAAGATGCAATTCTCCACCACCCCTAGAAACAGCATGAATGGAAGTGGCAAGGGACTGATGTGCTCACCCCGCTCACCATCGCTCCACACACACGCCCCTGCAAGATCCAAGCACTGCTCTGGAAGCTCTAACAGACTCTCTTTGGATGGTGTGTTTCCCAAACAGCTGTAAAGAAGTTGCTGACACTCTTGTTCCATTAATCAGGCAAACAAAACAGAAAAATCAAAGGCTTTGTTGTTTTATATGGTCCTGATCTTCAGAAAGTTTCTGAAGACTTTTGATGCCAGAGAAGCAGAATGCAATGACAGACTAGGGCAAGCCCGTACAACTAATACTACAGATTGAAGATTTATACCAAAATCCTACATACATTCAGTTGGGAATAAGTCCACTAAATTCAATATAATTTCAATGGAAGGCTGGAAAAAAAGAACACTGGAAAATGCAGGAGGGGGAAATCCAGGAAGTCAAAGCCAAAAAAAAGTTATCCACACTTTCCCAAGATCAAAATCCCTGAAAAAAATAGGAGGCTTTTTAGTTGTTTGATTTTTAAACAAAACAAAATAAGAACATTTCCTGCCACTATCCCACTCCATTTTCCCCCCTGGCCTTCACATCTCTAGGTAAGAGTGTATAAAACTGCACTGTTAAACTGGCTTGACAATAATTCCTTCTCCCAAGGGAACTGGGGAGCAGGAGGGGGGATATCTCATAGAAAGCTATCAAAACCTTCACCAGCCTACGATTCTTAAATATCTTTGGGGAAACACATAAGAGCCTGTTGGATTAGAGTAATGCCCTATCTAGTCCAAGATTCTATACCCATAGTAGCCAACCAGTAAAACTAATATAGAAGCAATGCAGAAGCAACAGGTTTGCTTTCAGCATGCATCATCAGATGCAGATCGGAGTTCTAGATCAGATGGGGACAGCCTGCAGCCTGTATGCAGCCCTCAGCTGTTCTCTGTGTGGCCCATGGAGCCTCGCTCATTTCGCCCAATAGCCATGCAATCCGCAGCCATCTGGGGAAAGAGAACAAACTGCTGTTTCCCTGCTAAGAAAGGTGAGGAGACAGCAATCTTGGACAGGGTCCCTAGGCCATAGTCAACCTAAATGTTCAAGGAAGGAACTGCCAAAAAATGGAGGAGGCAGTTCAGCTGGCTAATGAATGCAATGTTGTTAACTGTCTTTGTTTGGGGGGAAAAACTAAACTAAAGGGGGTACACCCAGCTAAATACTTCCAGCCAGCCCTGGGTTACAGACCCAAGGGTCACTGGTGGAAGGTTAAAGACTCTCCCTCCCTCTCTCCTAGAAGCAATCCTCATCTTGACTGCACTTCGCTGTTTCCTTGATTCTAGTGTTAATACTAACCATGCTTGGTGTTGTTATGTGCCCTTAAGTTGTTTCTGATTGATGGTGGTCCTATGAATGAATGCCCACCAAAATGACCTAACCATGACAACCCTGCTCAGTTCTTGTAAATTTAGGGCTGTAGCTTCCTTTATGGACTCAATCCATCTCATATTTGGTCTTTCTTTTTTTCTTCTGCCCTTTGGCTTTTCCTAGCATGAGTGTCTTCTCCAGGGCATTTTGTTTTCTCATGATGAGCCCAAAGTACAACAACTTCAGTTTTGTCATCTTTTTCTTCCAGGGAAAGTTCTGGCTTATTTTGATGTAGGACCTCCTTGTTCATCTTTCCATTGGTTCAGCGTATTCGCAAAACTCTCCTCCAGCATCATGTTATTGTTGTAAGCTGCCCTGAGGCTTTGGCGGATGGGGCGGCATAAAAATGTTTTAATTAATTAATAAATAAATAAATAAATAAATGTTTCAAATGCATCAATTTTGTTCTTGCCAGCTTTCTTCATTATCCAACTTTCACACCCAGGCATGGTGAAGTAAACCCAATAATCTGAGTGCCACTTACTTCCATTACTAGTAAGCAAGAGGACAGCTTAAATCTCCTTCACTTGATTAGATTTTGGTAGGATATGCTGATAGTCTCTTTAGTGTTCAAAACTGGCAGTCAAGGACCTAGATCTAACCCACAGTCTTTCTGCATGTGGTTCTCTTGAAAAAGAAATCTTAATTCAGCACAGTAATTACAGATGTGTGACTGGCACTCTAAAAAAGACCCTACAAAATGGATTAGTTCACTTGTCCAGTTTCTGAAACAGACTCTATGATTATGAGACTTGCATCAATCCATCATGGTTTCATCTTTTTGTATGGAGCTAGGATTGCAGACACCGTATTCTGGATTGTTTCCTAGATGACCTCTTGGCCATCACTAGGAAAAATGCATTCTGGATGAGCAGTACAACTCTAACAAAGCAGTAGATTGGATAGTGGAGATGGCTTTCTAAATGAAACAAATAAACCATATTATATGCAAGTTCTAGAAACAACTGTAGAAAGAGGCTTATGTCTAAATTGCTTTTGTGGTGCAAATGTAAGTTGAAATTAGAAACCCAGGATCTAGGGTGTTCAAGACATGTCCTTGTCTCACCTGCAATGTTACAAGGGGCCCAGTCAGTACCTTCCATATGTAACCCTTCCATGTTTTCCCATTGCTTCTTCCATCTTTTTTCTTACCACAAACAACCCATTAAGGAGGGAAAGACAGAAGACTTGCACAATATCTTTTGACTGCTAGCATTAGGAACCCTCAGTCTTCTCCACTGTCTTTAGAAGCAATTATGCTAATAGTGTTGCAGGTGTGTCTTCCTTTCACACCACCCGGACCTTCTCTACACAAGGAATTTATTGTGCACTCATTCTCTCATGGTTGTTCTTTAATCCTCTGTAGATTCTTTAGATGATGTGACCCTCTAAGTTTCACTTCTGTTTTTGAGAAGCACTTTTGACAAGTTGTTTTTTGCAGCAGAGAATATGTGACATTTGTGACATTTGTGAAAAATGAAAGAAAATACTTTTTCATTTGCGTAATTGCACTATTTTGCTACAGCAGAGTGATACTGTGAGGTTATGCAGCAGAAAAGCAGGAAAGGCAGCTCTCCTCATGATCTCAGATCTCCACTGCATCTACTGTCACGACAAAACTAAGAGTAGATGCAGTGCATTAGCAACCCCATGTAGAAAAACTGGCACTTATCAGAAATGAAGCCCTTTAATGGGTTTGCTGCAGCTGTAGTAATCTATACACAGAGCAACAAAGTCAGCACAGCCCTTTGTGGAAAGGCTTTCCAAGACACGAGCAGAGATCCAGCTCTCTCACTGAGGCAAAACTGTGTGCTGTGTATTCAAGACCACTTCTAAGATTAAGCCTATAGGCAACAGAAGTGAGAAGATGGAACCACAGAAATGAGGATGCAACAGAACAGACAACAGAAAAGACCCTTTGTATTTTATCATCCACAAGTATGTACAACTCATTCCTGTTGCAGTCAATGAAAACCCTCTCTGTGTGTGTGTGTGTGTGTGCGCATGTGTGATTTTTTTTCTTTTAATTAGTAGTGAAAGATTTTCTTAGTGCTCATCATTTGAAAACCATCTTCCTTAGGGGTTTCCAAACGATAGCCATTTCAAGACACTGGTGCTTACTTTTAAAACCCTAAATGGCTTGGGGCCCACATACCTGAAATACCACTTCTTATATCAGCTTGCCCATGTCTTAAGATTTGCAGGGGAGCCCCTTTGCAAAGCACCTTCTGCTTGTTATGTGACAACAGAAAGCGGATTCACTGTTATGGTATCTGCTTTGGACACCCACCCACAAAGAGGTGGCAGGCAATGATTTTGCAGCTACTTTCATGCCAGATTAGAACTTGTCTGTTTACCAGGCCATTTTAAGTTTGTCTTGTTGTCTTTACTGCTGCTTCATGATTTATATATGATATTACTGTTACTGAATTTTATGCTTATATGACTACTTTGGTTATAAGTGTGATACATTTCTATGAAGGACAGTTTATAGGTATTCCAAAAAATAAATAATAAAGCATTCAAAATGTCTGTCTTTCTACATCTATCCTCTATGCAATCATCTCATCAGAACTTTCATATTGCTTTGCAACTGGGGAGAGGCTTGGTATATGTTGAGTGCAGATGAAAAAGTATACGCATCCAGGTTTGTTCATCCCCTTTACATAGCTCCACTCATTTGCTGTAGTTAGACAGGACCATTGCTCCTCAAAGCTGGCACAAGTGATATTCTCTTGCTTTCTCTAGGAAAACAGGATTCTGATTTACTAGTGGACCACTAAGTATCCTTGGTTCACTGGGATTCTGGAAAAGCATGTTAGGCAATCTAATCCAGCAAGGCACTTCTTAGGCTCTTCAGCAGAAGAATAATATGAAGAACCAACACAGATTAAGATTTAAGTGTTAAGTGATCCTTCCTGAGTATATACTCTTAATTTGTAAATTTAACATCCACAGGTGAACCAATGGAGTTTAGCTTTTAAATGTTGAACACTGTTATCACCTCACCTATCAACCTGTGTCAAGTTAGGGTTTTTATTAATTGTAACCTACATTTTAGCTAACTGCTATGGTTTAAAGTGCTCATCAGATTTTAGACCATTTTATTGTGATATTGCTTATTGTCTAAACAACTAGTTATTTTTAATGTGCAGTTTGGTTGTTTTAGTTCCCTTGGACTTTTTAAATAGAAAAGTGGATATAAATGTAAAAAATATAAGTAAATCAGATCTGTGGAAGTGTCTGTATCTCAAAGTATGAACTTCTCTTAAAACTCTGGGGAATGGTGTCAGACACAATATGAAACCACAATTTCTTTCATTATCCCTTAATGTGATCTTTCCCTGTAGCCAGTCTAGCACCCTTCTGCCATGCTGTCATTTTGCATCCTCAGAGATTTCACAGAGACTCTACAAAGACAAAAAGGGGTCTCTTACCTCTGCTGAAGATGATGCTCTCATAGGGGATCTTGTTCTTGGTCTCCAGACTAGAGCAATTCCAGCGCTGATCACGGAACTGGTGCTGGCACTCATGAATGGCAATCTGGATGCCTTGAATGGCAGAAGCCGTCACATCAGGATTCCGCACACACACCTCCAACTGTCGCCGTGTCAGCCCAGGCAAGGTCAAGCAGACTGTGTTGGCATTCAACACAGGCTCCAGTGGCAACTTCAGTCCCAGGATCTCATTAGAGAGAGAGCTGGCAAGGAGACAAACCATCAGCAAAGCCGTCACCATGTCCACAGGATGACCTTAATTCTAAACACATCTCACATCTCAAAAGAAAGAAGATTGCCAATCCAACAAACACAAAAAGCAAATGCCAAAAGCTGGGTGTGATGCCTACTGCTGTGACTTTTGCTAGAGCCAACTCTGCAAGGTGCAGAGCAAAAAGAAAACTTTTCAATGATAGAAACTTTGCCTCCTTCCCTATAACTCCTTCTCCTTCTTGGTAACCTCTTCAACTATTCTTAGAGTGAGAATATTGCAGAGTGAAGATATAGCAATACATTTGATTTATCTTTCACAAGCCAAACTGTTCCTCAGGGGAAGACATTTTATGCAAACAATGTGGTTGCTGTTGAAAAGCATGACAGGATGTTAAGAATCCATTATGTATTCAACAAATGACTGAAAATTAAGGGCTAGGCACTGAATATAGGCTGTTACCTAAGAACATAAGAAGAACAATGTTGGATCAGATCAACTAGTTTTCTGTTCACACGGTAGCCAACTAGCTGCCCCTGGAGTCCCACAGGTGGGATACATATGCAACAGTACCGTCCTGCCCAAATTCCCCAGCAACTGGTGTACACAGGCATACTGCCTCTGATAGGGGAGGCGGTGTATAGCCATCCGTAGCCACTGATAGCCTTATCTTCCAGAAATTTGTCCAGCCCTTTTTTTAAACTAGTGACCTAATAATCATTGCTAACATTTACTAGCTGTTGACAAATGTCCATACCTTAAGGTCCATCTGAAAATTTTTAGACATCCAATAAATGTCCACAATTTAGGGCATACGTACAACATATGATGGACTGTCAGCTTTATCTCAGGACTGTATACAAGGTCATCATTTTGGACATTTATGATAACAGATTCATCCGCACTTGTGTCCAGTGAACATCTTCATTCTAAACACATCTAAATAATCTTCATTCTAAATAAATTCTCAGAGAAGTACAGAGTGTACACAACCATCAACCTGCCAGATGGCAATCAGGCTTGTGGTTTGATTTAGCTCCTTATCTATGATTTGTAAAAGGGAGAGGCCCAGCCCACACTACTGTGTGTCTAAATATCTCAGGCCTTTCCACAACCAGCTCTATCTGTAAACAGCCTAGCAAGTCCAGGTAAACAGAGAGAGAGAAAGAGAGAGAGACTGAGAGACACACAGGTTAATAGAGAAGAAGGCTCTAATTACATAGCAAAGTGCTCCCTTTGGCGGTTTTAAAAGTAGGGACTCCAGAGCTTCTAATGACTCAATTTGAGGGGAGATGCAAAGGTGGTTGTAACTCACTAATGACAGTGCTTGATCAAAGGTGGAGGAGTGAGGTACTGTATCCTCTACTCCAACTGGGTCACACATTCCCCGTCTACTGCCCTGTTTCCCTAGCATACAGAAGTCACGGGATCTTACAGGGAATGGTCTCACAATGGGTCCACCTGAAATCAACTATTTCCACATGTAAATAGCCATGAGTTGCCAGCTAGCTAGAAAAGAATGCCTTGCCTTGTTATTTGTGCTTTTAGCAGAGGGATGGGCAAATTTTGGCAGCTGGAGAACTACACTGTCTCTTCAGACCCCACCAGTGGCAAGCAGATTACTTTTCCTGGGAGGCTTCTGGGAGCACAGTTGTGCAAAAACCATGAGTGTTCATTCACCACTTTTTTGTTGCTGAAGCAGCAAATTCAACAGCCACAGCAAGGGGACACATGCAGCCCACCCCAGCAGCTTGATCCATAGAAATCAGCAGACACATATTTTCATCTGCAAAGGCCTACAGCTAATACTGGTATAAAAAGCACGGGGTCAGCAGGCCTTTACAGACTTGTGAACAGTTACTAGTTGATACAGCCTATGTTTCCAAGTGACCTAAATCTTGCACATCATGAGATCAGGTCCTTTACTATAATTATTATTTCCATTCAGTCCATCAGTGGGTGCAAGTGAATTAGTAAATGTTTGCGATGGCTGGTAACTTCTATGGACTTAGTTGCAAACACTGTAAATACGGCCACATACAGATATAAGTTAGTTTAACTGTGGTTACTTCACATGGATATACCAAGGGTATTTCCAATAGGAAGCTAGGGATTTCTCCAAAAGAATTTTCAGCCCCCTCACAAATCTCCTAAAATTCCCTGGGAAATTTAGGGAAAGCTATGAGAGTTAGAAGTACCAGAAAACTAGTTTGACATCTGTAGCATAGATGTATCCTAAGTTAATTTGTCAAAACATGACAAATATATGATCTCTTCATGGGAAGGGGCTTACTGAATAATCCTTTATTGTGGAGAGGAGATAAGCCATTGTTACACTGGTATCTGTATCCTAGACCTGCTCAGCTAAAGACCAGCGCAAGAAACACACAACATAAAATACCACAGAGCAATGTAAAAATGGTGGATATGACCACAGATCCCCGGAGACACCCCTAAAACTGGGACTCTGCCAGCTATGATGCCCACACATACAGGAACCAGCTTTCATGGCTCCAAGCATCATCCAGGGGATCAAGAAGCACGGGGCTGGCCCAGTCATGAAGCAGTCGCCCTGGGTGGAAGATGCTGGGAAGCCCCAGCAAGGTGCTGGAAATGAGATGTGTGTGTCACCTGCCCTGCTCTGTAGCCCCTGTGCTAGTTTGCTGTCTTCAGGTATGATGCGATCTCATCATCAGACATTAAAATAAAATAAAATAAAATAAAATAAAATAAAATAAAATAAAATAAAATAAAATAAAATGCATTGAAGACAGATTTATTTGTCAGTCTAGTCAGCTTCTGAACATGAGGGGGCAGGATCTTCTTCTTTGCCTCAGGCAGCAAAAATGTCTTAGGCCAGCCATGGAAAGCAGGTGGCAGGGGCTTGAGCCCCAAAGCAAGGGATGGGGCAACATGGCCCCACTCAACCTTGGTTTTGGTGAGGCATGCCAATCAGGTCAAGGCAAAAGGCAAAGCAAGTCCAGGACCCAGGCCCATCCTACAAACATCACAGAGCCACTTATCACTTACAGCAACAAACAAAAATGTTGTTCTTACATTGCATTACAACACACACCCACATCATGAGGAAGGCTTTCCTCACACAACCTTAGTGCTGAGCCATTGATGCCAATAGTCGCAGGGCTCCAAGAGCATGCTGGAACAGCATACACTTTTCACACAAGGGATCCCAGGGCTGATTCCTGCTACAATACCACACTAGGATAGGGAGGGAAGGCCTGTCTTGATTTAGACAGGTGAAGATGATGTTTTTAAAAACATCTCCGAAGGTAGTTCCAGGACAGAGCACTGTATCCATCAACAGCCTAGCTTCTGCACAGTCCTTTGGATCCTCCCCCATCTGGCAACCCACATGACTAATCCAGCCACACAAACACACACCTCTGCTATTTCGCCCAGTCAGCTAGCCCTGCTGGTTGCCATCACAGCAGGTCTCATCAGCTGTCCCCACTTGACTGCTACAAATACCCTGGCGGCAGCACCCGTCCCCTTTACAACAGACAGTGGGAAAGGCTACCACTCGATAGTCCAGGGCAGGGGTCCCCAGACTTTTTCAATAGGGGGCCAGCTGAAAGGCCACGGCTATATGCGCGGGCCGGTGAGGTGGGGGTGCCTGGGAGCGTGGGCCGGTGAGGTACATTTGGGCATGCACGAGGCGGCATCAGGCACGCGCAACGGTGGTTCGCTTATTCGCTCGCTCGCTCGGAGGCCATCTCTGATCTAGCGAGCCACCACCTCCCTGCCCTCGCAACAAGCGTGAGCGCGGGTGGCGAACAGCAGCACGGGCCAGGTGGATGGCCATGGTGGGCCGGATTTGTCCTGCGGGCTGTAGTTTGAGGACCCGTGGTCCAAGGAAACTGGGTGAGTCAAAAGAGTTACAGGCCCTTAACCCATCAAGCTCCCTGCCTGCCTCTTGGAGTCCCTTGATGGGGCTAGCTGAAGCCAGATCATATTAGAGCATGGGACAGGATCTCAGTCCCTCTACCATGCCTTAGTAACAACGAATCAACACAGGTGGCAAAGCCCCGTCTCACAGATCGGCATCCAGGACGGTGGTGATTGTGAAAAGCAAAAACGTGTGCAGTGTTGCCAGCCTGTCTTCCCAGTGGAGTTTCTCTTGCTGGGGCAGTAGGTCATCAGACAGGAGGGAAACAGATGTAGGGCACCATATCCATGGTAGAAGTACCATCCTCTGTTCCATGACTGGCTGCCAAAGACCTTGCAATGATACAGGAACCAGCTTTAGCTAGTAGGGTGGCAGCCCTGCTGAGAAACACTGGGTGCATCCTAGTCCCTGCTGCTGGTCATGGGGTGGGCCCCTACTCTAGGCTGGTGTGCACAGGGGCAAGAAGAGCAGACCATGAAGAGCAAGGGAATAGTCAGTGAAAGAAATACAGCTAGGTATACTGTAGATGTTTGTGAGAGAGGAAGGGAAGAGGAAGTGGCACCACTGGAGTGCTCTGCCAGTGCCCAGTGTTCATGCCACAGGAGCAAGGAGGGACCACAGTGACTATGAATGTATCAGTCTCCTTCCCCTTTGCAAGAAGGCTCTTTGCACGATGACTATTTGTTCTGCTCCAGGCATACAGGCTGAGATCCTGCAAGGAGCAAGAGTGCTGACAAGGTTCCTGCACCATTATTTGTTTTGTAGAAGAGCGAATTCAGAATTGCTAAAATTATTTCTTCTAAAAAACTGTTAAAGGTTTCTCTCTTTCATTTAGCACAGGCTGGCAACAGAGCAGCATGAATAACCTCAAAATCCCCCTGGAAAGGGAAACCATGTCATTTCTTCTTCCTTTCCAGGGGCATTGTATTGAAAAAGTGATGGCTGCTCCCACTGAGGCAGCACCAGCAGCTCAGCTGCAACCTTGCACTTTCTCCCTCAACTTCCTAAGAAGTGTGGTACCTAAATGCCCTCAGACATCTCTTCTGGCACTTGTCAGGCTGCCACCTCTCCAGATTTTAATTTTCTTTATGAAGAGAAAAATCGTAGGATAGTTCAGGATCCC